GCGTCCGCTCACCTCGCGGCCGGAAACCAGAACTCCGACCCCAGGTCCCGCAAGAGCCGGGCCTCCGCAGACAGTCGCGGCGAAAACCGAAACCGCGCCTCCTTTGTGCCTCAGCCAATCAGTGCATTCCTCGGCTACGGTAGCCCGTGGGGTCCGAAAAGGTCGGACTACTCCGGCGCTCACAAATCCAAAACAAAATTTAGAAGAAAATTGCAAGTGATCCATAATAAGGAATAACTTGAAGTCATAGGAATCTGAAATATACTATTAAAATAATAGACAGTGATTATCCAGAAATAATTTAAAGAAAAAACTCAAATTTTAAAATCCACCTTTGAATATTAATTAAATGTGTGAAGACTAAATCACTATTAGCAATGTAGCGATCTAATGAAAACCATCAAAGTAACTCCGAATTATAATGGCATAAATTGTGATTCAGTACAAACTCATTCAAATTGGAAATGATACGCAGATATTATTTAATTGCTGCTATGAGAACTTGGTTTGGAAGTTCGTGTGAATTTTCAGTGTTCTTAGGAAAAAGAAAATGGTTCTCTGTGCATGAATCCTCATCCACTTAAAATTTATACTTTAATTTTATAAGGTAACACTATAAACTCAGTGCTACTGTAATTTCTTCGAACGACAGATCCTCACTCCTATGTTACGAGATCTAAGATACAGACGAAAATGTGAATTTCCCTTCTTATAAGTGCCTCTTAGCTAAAGGCAAAAGAAGTGAACCTCAGATTGACATCATAGAGAGAGCAAATGGGTGTAGTTTGGTAAAAAGAGACTTTCTTCTATCCTATAAAAGCTCAGTTTGGGTAAAGACCAAATAGTTACAGATTTATTGAGAAGGCTGCATTTGAAGTTCTCACAGTATAAAATGTTAGTATAACATCTTGCAGTATAAAACTTTAAGTGTTATTTAAATCAAAGCATTAGCTGCAAAGAACAACCATGGGATACAAAGGCCTGTTCCTAAAGTCTTCCTTCATAACTAACATGAAATGGGATCACATTCTTCACTGATTGTTTTAATTATTCAAAAATTAGTTTTCAATTCATAGCTGCTTTCACTTTGCCACAGAGCCATGAGGGAGCCATTAAGCCTAGTGTGGTAAGCAGGGAGTGATGAGCTTTCAGGGCCTGGGTCATCTGCAGAGCAGCTGCCACCTTTTCCAAGGCACATAGCTGTGTAAGAGCCCAGCTAGAAAGATGGCTTGGGCCAACAAGCTTGTAACAAATGTGGTCTCAGAACAAAACAAAAAGGTGGTTGTTCCCAGAAACCCCTCAGCAGTTTAAAATTAGCTATTACTAACTCAGGAGGCAACTTTCCATATTTCACGTGTTTTTTTTTTTTCCAGCATCTTTTATTATGTCACAAAGAAAGTGTATGCAAGTCTTTTTCTGAATACTAGTTCAAGAACTGGGCTTTCAAAAACCCTGAACATAAACCTGACTTTATTAAGGAAGTTTAAAATCATAAAAATAATCTGGCAACGTTTGGTTTAGCTTGCATAGTTTAGTTGTTACAACTGACAAACCTACACTGACATTTCATTATTATCACCCAAGTCCTTAGTTTACATGAGGATCCAGTCTTGGTATTGTGGGTTCTATGGATTTTGACAAATGCATAATGACAGGTATCCACTATTACAGGGTCACACAGAACATTTTCACTGCCCTGAAATTCCTCTATGCTCTGTCTCTTCCTCCCCAACCCATAGTAACCACTGACGTTTTTATTGTCTCTATGGCTTTTCCACTTTCAGAATGTCATATAGTTGGTAGTACACACACTGTGTTATCCCACTTGGTAGCCTTTTCTGACTAGCTTCTTTCACTTAGTAAAATGAGTTTAAGAATCTTCCATGTGTTTTTATAGCTTGATAATTCATTTCTCTGAAGTGCTGGATAATACTCCATACGGATATAACCCATTTTTTGGCTCATTTACTTACTGAAGGCCATCTTGCTTGCTTCCGAGTCAGTAAAGAAAGCTACCATAGCATCCATATGCAGATTTTTGTGCAAAGTTAAGTTTTGAACTCACTTGGGCCAATATTAAGGAGTATGGCTCTTGGATCGTGTGGTAAGAGAATGTGTAGGTTTGTAAGAAACTACTGAATGGCCTTCCAGTGTGGCTGTTCCATTGTGCATTCCCGACAGTGAATGAGAGCTCCTGCTGCTCCACACCCTCACCAGCATATGAGGTTCCCAGTGTTTTAGTTTTGCCATTCTTATAGATGTGTAATGGTATCTCGTTGTTGCTTTGATTTGCAAATCCTTGATAACATGTGAAATACTGTTTTCTATGCTTATTCTAGATCAGTATATCTTCTTTGGTGAGGTATCTTTTCAGGTCTTTGGCCCATTTTGGAATCAGATCCTTTTTTTAACTGTTGAGTTTGTAGATTTGGGTTAGTGTCCTTTATCAGATATATTTTCTCCCAGTCTATGGGTTGTATCCTCACTCTCTTAAAGCTATTATTCTTAAATGCTGATATAAAAATACTAAGATGAGCACTTGTTATTTCTTTGTTCCTCATATAGTTCTTTATACCTGTGCTTTGAATAGCTGTGTCCTTAAGTGTTATACATTCATAAGAGAAGGCCTATTCTTTTAAAAAAGCCAACAATCCTGTGAATATGTGGGTGATGATGATGCTAATGACAACGATGGTGATGATTAATATAAGCATTGCATCAGCTTGGCAAACACCCTCCAAAGCAGATTTTAATATCTAACGTTGGTGTTAAGCTTCTAGAAAACTGACTGGTTTTGCTTGAGTAATGAGTTAACTGGAATGAAATGCTGGCCTGGATCTGGACCGTTTCTAGGCCTTCAGATAATGGTCATACTGCTCTAGTTTGGGGTATTTGGGGCCATTATTATCTAGCATTCATCTGGGATGTGAAAATTATTTGTTAAAGAAAGTGGGAAGGAAGACACTTTACAGCTGTCAAATGTCTTCCGGGAAGACATATTGGAATGGTCTCCCCGTGTGGCCATGCTGTTTAGCATTCCGTTATTGACTGGTGGGCAGATTTCCCAGGAAAGGCAGTATGCTTTTTGTCTTTACTCACAGCAGGTCTATATTTTACATTATTGGTACTGCATTTCAGATATAATATTATTTTTTTCAGATATAATTTTTAGATGTCTAAATGCTCAGACATCATCGGCCATCATTTTAGTACAATTTGAATTCCAAAAGAGCCAGGCTCAGGGCCTGAAGCCCCATGAGTAAAAACTCCCCAGTACTTCAATGCTTTATGCTCCACCATGAACTCCAGGAACCTCTCTCAGCTGTAAAATTCAGTGAAATCAGTGTGAAGCTGTCCTTGTATTTTAATCAAGATGAACTTGAAAGGTGAGCATTATAAGTGGGAGAAATTATTTATAATTTGGTAATAAAAGTTTATGTCTAACACTCCAGATTTCATACATCTGCTATGTGCTGGCCCTGAGATATAAAACAATTGAAGTTGCCTTTATGTTTGGCCTTCTATGAAAGGTCATAAATTAGAGTGATAGCGTTCGTCCTCTTTCCTAGCTCACAAAATTTCCATATTAACATCTTCACCTCAAACATAAATGGTTACCCAGCTACAAAGAAAAGAGTTGTATCGGCCTTTATGAATTATAGTTTATGTTGGAAATCTGTGATACATAAGGTGGCTATTCAGCTCACAGTGAGTGTACCTATTTCGGTGAAGCTGATCCCACCACAGTGACGCTAATTAAAACTGCAGGGTGATGTTAAATAAATAAAATACAGTATATATAAACATTTAGATATGTTTTAGATATGTGATTCCTTTAACTGTTATAAATGAATTTTTAATGTCTTCAAGGGATTTTTTTTCCTCTGCTAGAATATCTCTATCAAGTTTATTTGAAATAAACTTGCTCTCAAGTTTTAAAATGTCTCTATCCAATGTGGTTTTAACTGATAATGTGAAAACTATGATTTTTTTTCACTATAGAAAAAAACAATGCAACTCATATTATTAAGACATATAATAATGAAATTCATTCCAGTGATGACTTGGAATAGCACTTTTATGTTTAGACTTTCAAAAAAATCATGTTTATAGCAAAAAACAGATGTCCTTAGTTTTCCAGTATGAAATATTAAATCCATATGCTTTTTGTTCATAGGTTTCTTTCACCAGCCCCATTGGTATTGTTAAAAATATACCATAATATAAACTAACACGGTCAAGATTAAGAATAACTTTTGAATTTCGAGGCTTCACCCAGGAGGAATGAAAAAGTTTAAGAGGGAATGCTCATTCTCAGTTACTTTTAGCATTAGAATCGGTTTTTCCTTGATTCTGGACAAGTAAATATAATGTGACAATTTAGTAATGCAGTAATTTGAAAATTGCCAAAATGGAAGCATGTCTCAGTCCATTGATGCTGCTATAACAAAATGCCTTAAGTTAACTGATTTATGAACAGCACAAATGTATTACTCACAATTATGGAGACTAAATCCAAGATCGAGGTGCCAGTAGATCTGTACCCAGTAAGAACTGGTTCTCTGGGTCACGAATGTTACCTCCTGATTTCATCCTCATGTGATGGAAGGAGCAAGGAACTCTCTTGTAAAGGTACTAATCCTATTTGTGAGGATTCATAACTTATCACTTCCCCATATCTTAATAATCTCACATTGGGACTTAAGTTCTAACATATTAATTTGGGGAGAATACTCATATTCAGACCATAGCATAGCATAGCATAGCATAGCATAGCATAGCATAAGCTCTTTTATCTCAGTTCTGTTTTTTCTAAGTTGTCATCTTTTCTCTCGGTCTAATATCAGGATAAATGGATGTTTCTGCACAAAGTATACACGTTGTCACCTAAAATTCTTTGGAACAAAGTCCATAGTTGTCTGTTTTGTGACAAAACTCATACTAATATATGGATATGTTTCTAGGTCAGCCACACATAAACAATGATCAGCTGTCTTGTAATATGCAGCATTGTCCTGTTTTCATATCAATCTCTCCAAATGGAAGCCAAGTGCAATGTAATCCCAGCTGCTCTGGAGACAGAGGCGGGAGGATCACTGAGCCAAAGAGTTTGA